TTCTCTAGAAGTTTCAAAGACAGCTCAATATTCGACCACTCACAGGTCGCTACCCACAGTTTGGGAAGCACTGTAAAAGGTCCGTCAACATTATATCAATTTTTTCCAACAATTACATTTTTTTTATATCGAAACAACATTTTTATTTAGCATATAAATATATATTAGCTCCGCGGTTTTGTCCGCAAGAATTAGGACGAAAAGATTTACTCTTTATCTGTATGTCATGTATAGGATATGATCTATCTGCGTACCAAATACTATTCAAATTTGTCTAGCTGTTTAAGAGTAACATTGAATAAGACATTCAAACATTTTTCAAACTCACTTTCATATTAGTAGTATCATATTTTTATAAATTAAAGTATTAATATCAGTCAAAATCCACTTACAGTATCAATCCAATTAAATAACATTGTTTATCTAAAAATAATGAACCATAGGTCCAGACGTAAAGAATATACGAGGCAATTACACAAAATAAAGTAATATATATGATACAAACTATTATTAATTACTGCTTACAATATCTAGTGAAGGTACATAAAAGAATGGTCTGGTACAAAGTTATATTTATTTTTATTTATATAGATTTACATTATACATGTAAATGTTAATATATATAAATAAATAAATTATAGGTATCCAGTAGTATCTATCAAAAGCTATAATGAATTGTACATTGATGGAAAGAAAAATAAGAGTCTAATGGCGATTAGAATCGACTTCCAATCGAATTTATTTATTTAAATCGATAATTCGTGCTCTGTGCTAAAATATGGTCTGCAGAAGATATTAATATTCAAACTATTATTGTTAATTTGTTTTAAATTTATATTGAACGTCGATTTCTAGTCAATTAACAAAAAAAGTGTGGAAGACATCGACTACATATATTATAATTATTCAAAAAGATCTCTCATGTGAAAATTTAGACCCAATGACGATCCAGACAAGAGGCCTCTGGAGACGAATGATTAGGAGCACTGGCGCAAACTAAGATATGATAAGGCCGAGAGTATTGAAGTGAATTTCGAGTAAGTAATTCACATCCTAACAGGATATCAGCCGCCTCCTTTTCAGACGTTTTATTTTAAAATCTTGTCCTTTGTATATATTGAATAAATAAATTGTAAATTCCCCTGATGGAATACGTTACAGAATCACCAATTTAAATAAATTTATAATACAACTCAAGCAATCAACGCAGATTTTCGTTTTCGTCGAGTAATCAATCGGCAAAAATTCGTTGTTTCTTTATACTCTAAAAAGTTAAAGTTTAAAGTGCTTTAGCAGCCCAGTTTTGCTGGTCATACAAGCCGTCTAGATTAATGTCAAACTATTTTGTTTCTAGATGTACTAACTCTGCAAGATACATAACGAACGTAACAGCATATCCACTGTCTCATTCATTCTTGTAGGTACACTAGAGTCAACAATAACAAACAATTATATCCAGTACACCCTGGACTCTAAAACTACTAATAGGATTATTAGGCTCCGTCACTATAGCCCCGTTTGTGAGAAGTCCTGTAATTGGTCTCACAGATAGGGACGGATTAATGTCATTTTGACAGCTAACAGTTGAAATTGAAAGGATAACTTTGGAAACAGACTCTCTATATTAACACATTATGAGTGGGGTAGGTATTAGTACCCGTATAAAACAAGTGATTTTAAGTGACACAAGAGTAAAATATATATACATATAATATATATATTTATTAATACGGGTACAATTACCTGTCCCACTTATAACGTGTTAACCAAGCAATCAACATCATTCATGTCCGTAGCATAAAACAAGTGACAAATGATTTTTGGACAAAAACTTGTCCATGATAACAAGAGTTACAAATGGCATATAGACAATTTCATGCATCCTGTACTGCCACATTAAACAAGATTGAACATACAAATTAATACAAACATACAAAATCATATAACTATCCAGATCTTAGTATTGTTACATACAAGCTAAGCCCGCATATTTGTGTGGCAAGACAGTTCAAATACAGTAAATATAATAATAATAATAAAATTCTTTATTGTGTACACATAAAATAATGAGAAATACAGTAAATAGTAAAATACCGGATATAGCGACGGTTACGAGTCGGTTACTACGACTACCATTTCGTCGTCCGAAGAATCAATATAAAAACTATACATATTGCTTATAAAGAGTGACCGGATATAGCGTCCATATTTTGCGGTCCCTTCAATCGTAATATCCGGTTTCTACTGCATATATATTACGTAAAAAATGTATATTTATTAAATAATAATAATAATAACAATAACCTCAGGACAATTCACACAGCGCCATCTAGTCCCACGTTAAGCTATCTAAAGCTTGTGTTACGGGTACTAGATAACTGATACAAGTACATAGATAATTTTTTTTCGTAAATACATACCTATTATATATAGAAAACACCCAGACCGATACAAACAATCATACTCATGAATACAAATGTTTGTGCCGTGCGAGGAATCGAACCCGCGACCATCAGACGTAAAGCGGTGTGCTAGACCGCTAGACCACCGAGGTCGTCAAGGTAATACATATACGATACATAAGGTATTACACATACGATGTCTATTTTATCATTCCTTTCTTTTGCGATAGGTATATAATAAAAAATAGCTGATAGACCGACTGACAGACTTTATATTAATAAAGAACACATATTAGTTTCTTTTATTCCTTACTAATATTCAAAATTTACAGTACTTTTATTCAATTTATTATATAAAAATCGATTTTACATGTTTTATTGAGTTTTCGATATTTCATCATTAATAATATAATAAAAATATAATGACTACGTCAAATTTTAGTATATAATCAATAAATCGTTAAAAACGTTAGTACAAAAATGTAAAATTTGATTATCCTCTAAAATACTTTAAATTAGAAACTTTAAAAAATAGTTAACCTTTTTTTTATAAATACAAAATCTTTGGAAAACATTTTTTTATCCATTTCTACTACTGTTGAATTTCCTTAACATATATTGTAATTATTATCTATACATATTATTTTTTTCTTCTATAAAAACAATAAAATAGATTTGTTATTTTACACAATCGACCAGATAGTATACAGACTTTTAGAGGAATCACTTCAATCCATTGAAATCCATAGATACACAGAGATACAGATTATAAATGAAAACCACAGAGGCAAAATATTCATTGTCATACAGATAATAAGAAATTACATATTTATCTCAAAGTATAGGTTATAAAAAAAAATATTCGGTTTGAGCGAGTATAGTACAAAAATTTTCATTATTTTATGCATTTTGCAGTTAATAAATTACTATGTGACAGTGTATGTTTTACTTCTGTGCGTCATGACTCCTTCATAGCATTGCAATACCCCATAAAGTCTGTATAGAGATCAATAAATAGCAAACGCTTTTTATAATCAATTTGTATCGATTTATAATATATTTATTGTACAAAACTTACCTTATGGCGTCGCTAACGGATTGAAACATTGTAAATCCTGTACGAATAATAGAAGAGCGATTTCTACATCTATTTAGGGGCTATGCATAAACTATGTCATATCAAAGCAGTTATTTTTATCTACCCCCACCCCGTCCTGCCCTGTCCTGTCGTATCGCAGGATAGATATCAATAATTTAAAAGTACAATATCATATATAATAAATTAAAATATCGTATCTTCTTCTGCTACAACAGAGATGTCACAATGCCGGAAACGCATAAGTGACATCTTTGGTGTTTCTGGCGTCTATAGGCTACGGTAACCATCCATTATCAGCTGGGCCGTATGCTTGATTGCTACCATTGTAATATAAAACAGGTCACTGTAAGCCCACCCTCAGGACGGTGGGAGGGTTCTTAGATTTCACATTTGCACAAAGCTTGTCACTCCTGCAACACCTTGTCATATATTGTCACACCTTGTCGGCTCCCGTCTCTTTTAACTTGTGACATAATATACAGGTATGGTTGGCCCCTTATCTAAAATATCAAGTGATAAATCGCAGATTTCATGACTTTTACAGAAGGTTTGTGACTGTTTGTGACCTTGTCATACAATGTCACACCTTGTCGACTCCATCTCTCAACGTGTTACATAGTTTATGAATGCTCCCTTATATAATATCATAATTTGTCTGTTCGTACTTCATTTACTATAGCCTTTTCCACTTATTATTGGCACTTGTGGGAAGGTATACAATACTTTACAGTAAGTTTCGCGTGCATCCACATTTAGATTGGCGACTCACAGTTTGAAATCACTGTACTTAGGGTCGTTACAAAACCCCCAGTTCTTAGTATTAAACTCAATCAGCTATATTGCCAGGCGTTTGTAAATAATACACTTAAATAAATTACTTACTACATATTGTCATTCTAATGACTTACAATGTATCCTTGTCTTCCTACTGCAACTGAAAACGAAACGAAAACTCATAGAATCTTATATTTATTGAAATCTATAGTAATATTATAAAGAGGTTGTATGTTTCGTTGTTTGTTATGTGTTGGTTGGGGTCTGTTGATCATATTTTAAACATTATTTCACTGTTAGAAAGGTATTTTATCTCTAAGTGATATAGCCTATATAACATCACGCTACGACCAATAGAAGCGGAGGAGCAATGAAAAATGTGCCAAAAAATATTTATTGCTTCCGCTGCGTGTTGCGTAAACGGTTCAAGTTACGCAAAAAATATGTATGACGGAATTGTTCTCCTTTAAAGTTCTAATAATAGTCCGTGACAACATATCTTTTAAGGTTAACTCTCTATAACCTTTTTGATGGTATTCAATTTTTTTCTAAAGTTATGCAATATTTGCGAAGTTGTTTTTAAAAGTATAAATAATTACAAAATAATCATTTACATCATTTCATTCGTTGAAATAAAATTTCTGACAATTTTGTTCAAAATTAAATACTTATACTTTAGAAAATATCTTAGTTTTAATAACTTTAAGTAAATAGAATAGCAAACCTTAAAGCTCCTCGTAGAAGGCGACCCTGGTTTTGGTGGAGCCCTGTTTGAGTCTGCGCAGCGTGGAGTACTTGTTGTCTCCAGCTCGAGCCTGCTCCTCATGGAGGCGGTCCAGCGTGGCGGCGGTCTGGTCCACTCGCAGCACGGAGAACTCGCACCGCAACTCGTCCAACTGTTGCTGGAGGTGCTTCGACTTGGCCAGATATTCAACCCTGTAAAAAATTATATAATTCAATAAATAAGCCTGGACAACATGCGCAGTTTCATCCAGTCCCAAACCAAGCAATGGTATTATTGGGTTGGCAACTAAATTACGACCAATGTGTGTTGCCAGTGATGACTTACGGAACAGAGACGTGGTCGCTAACTATGGGCCCCATCAACAAGCTCAGAGTCACTCAGAGGGCAATGGAGAGGGCTATGCTCGGAGTTACTCTGCGTGATCGAATCAGAAATGAGGAGATCCGCAGAAGAACCAGAGTGACCGACATAGCCCGAAGAATTGCGACTTTGAAGTGGCAATGGGCAGGGCACATAGCTCGTAGGACAGATGGCCGTTGGGGCAGTAAAGTCCTCGAGTGGCGACCACGGACCGGAAGACGCAGCGTGGGAAGGCCTCCAGCAAGGTGGACCGACGATCTGGTCAAGATCGCTGGAAGGCATTGGATGCGAGCAGCGCAGGATCGTCGTGGAGATCTTTGGGGGAGGCCTATGTCCAGCAGTGGACGTCTTCCGGGCTGCGATGATGATGATGATGATGAACTAAATGATTGCGAATTTTGGCAATTTGGATTATTCCCAAATTAAGCAATGGTATTAAATAATTGCGGATTTTGTCTATTACGTATATTTATTAAATCACGGGATCTTACCATGTTTTATATTTATTGAGTTCCAATAGCAATAAACGAAGACGTGTGAAAGTAGACGAATATGTTTGCCCATAAAAAAAAATACATCTACCCGCTGCTCTTCAGTTTACAGAACATGGCGGTTGAAACACTGCCGAAATATCGGGAACTCAATAAACGTGGTAAGAATCCTTAATTTTTACAAATTATACGTATAAATAATGAATCAAATTTAAAACAACAAATAAATACTATTACAAAAACTTGCTTAAGTACCTTTCTTTCTCAATTTCCAGCGACAGCCTGTGTATATGAGGGTCGGAGTCGTCTGGAACCAGCTGGTACGAGTTGAGCTCGGTCTCTGAGGGCACTGAATTGCCATTCTGCAGGACTTCGCCCCCCAACTCCGCTGGCAGGGAACACGTTGATGGGAATAAACTCGAGGGTACTGTTGACGACTGGAAATTGCAGAATAATTTATAAGTATGCATATAACCAATAAGCTCACGGCCTAGCTACCAACTGTCATCTACACACTTAAAAAGCACCATTCATGATATCAAATTGATAGCTTCGGTAGTCTTGGACCAAGCGGTTTAGCACACCGCCTCGCGGGTTCGATTCCTCGCACGTTACAAAAATACATAGATAACACCTAGACCAATACAAACAATCACACTCATGAATACAAATGTTTGTACCATGCTGAGTAAAAACCCGGAACCATCGGAAGTAAAGCAGTGTTCTAAACCGCTAGTACCCATAAGACAAGTTCAAGACTAGATGCCGCTGAGTGGATTGTCCAGGGTTATTATGTCGTCTTAATATGAAGATAGACCACCAAGTATAATCCTTAGTAATATTATAAATGCGAAAGTAACTCTGTCTGTCTCGCATTCACGTCAAAACTACTGGATTTAGATGAAATTTGGTACACAGATAGTCAGTCCAACAGACCCAGAGGACATAAGGCTACTTTTTAATGCGATAATAGGGTTGTAAGGGGCTGAAAGGGGAGATGAAAATTTCTATGGAGGTAACGTGATTTTTAATGCAAGACGCTTAATACTTATATTTTAAGTTGTTGATTAATACACAGATAGTCAGTCCAACAGACCCAGAGGACATAAGGCTACTTTTTAATGCGATAATAAGGTTGTAAGGGGCTAAAAGGGGAGATGAAAATTTCTATGGAGGTAACGTAATTTTTAATGCAAGAAACTTGATATATTTTAGACTGTTGATTAAATATAAATAAATATGACATTCAAAGATTGTAATAATTTTACACTAACAGAAATGATTGTATGGAAAATCGTCATTTCTTCGGTTTTTTTTAGTTTTGATTATTGTTTATTTTTTTATTATTTGGCTAAGTTCACTATAACACGCGGACGAAGTCGCGGGCATAGCTAGTAGAATATAATGAAGAACTTACCGGTGGTAAGGAACCATTTGAAGTCCTGCTCAAGAAATTAAGCAATTTCTCCTTAGCCTGCTTCTCAGCCACCCTGGCGGCCACCAGCTCCGCCTTGAGCCTCTCAGCCTCAGCAGCTCTCTTCTCTGATTCCTCCACCAGCCGAGCTGTTAGGAACTCAGCCTCTCGAGTTTTCCGCTCTAAGTGTACCTGAGGATATCATTACGATACTATACTGATATTGTAAAGCTAGAGTTTATTTGTTAGTTTAAATGCACCATACTGTCTCGCTGGAAACTATTGTGATTAATTCCTGGTACACCAATAGAGCAGAATCTTTTGACTAAATATATTTGAATGTATATACGATACTTGCTCTTGCTAATCTGTGAAATGGCTGTACCGATTTTGACTGTCGAGAATTTCACTTACATTTTGTATTATACGTAATTTATTTGAAGATGGCAAAGTAAGATTTTACTTATCAATTATGATGATAAACATTTTAAAACTTTCTTGTTACATGTAGCTAATGTTATAAGAAGTATGTTACGCTACTTTTATAATATAAAATTTATTAATGTTAATATAAAAAATAAACTAATATTAAAATAGTCTAATGTCTTCTTATAACATTAGCTGATGTAATAGCTACTTATTGATGAAATAAAACGTGTGTCCCACCTGCTCCTCTTCCAGCACTATGAATAAAATAAAATAAAACACGTGTCTCACCTTCTCTTCCTCTGTGCGGATGGCCGTGAGCCGCAGCCGCGCGTTCTCCCGCTCTGCGTCGGTGGCCTTCTGCGCCAGCAGCGAGGCCTCCTCCTCCGCCATGCGGCCCTTCTCCGCCAGCAGCTCCGCCGTCTCCTCCGACCGACGCTGTCCACACATACAAATACACATACATACTTTGTAAACAAACCTACATCTTCATTATATAGTATAAAACAAAGTCGATGTATCTGTCTGTCCGTCCCTATATGTGCTTATCTTGAAAACTACGCAAGGGATTTTGAATCCGTTTTTTTAATAGATAAAGTGATTCTAGAGGTCGGTTTATATGTATAATACATGTACATCCGGGCGAATCCGGGGTGAGTAGCTAGGATATTATAGAAGTAGAACTCAAGATATTGTACATATACAAACTTTATAAACGAACGAATTACGGTAGTCGCATACAGCGGGATTAAAAAACCAAATGGTTTAAATTACATTTAATTTATTAATAAAATAGTATATTTTAAGTTATACAGACAGAATAAGGAATGAGTATATACGAGGAAGTTTGAAAGTTGCGCCGGTTATAGAAAAGTTGCGAGGTAACAGATTGAGCTGGTATGGTTTGTTATGCGGAGGAATGAGGACCATGTCTTATGGAAAGTGTATAATATGAATGTGGATGGATGTAAAGGGAGGGGACGCCCTAAGAAGAGTATGTCTAGATATGACGACTGATAGAGAGCAGTGGAAGAGAATGACATACTGCGCCGACCTCAAATAATGGGATAAAGGCAAGGCAATGATGAATATATTTTAAGTTACTAACTAACAATAATAATTTTTTTTTTGGTGAACTATTTTGGATACAGTACAAAATGTTATTGTAACTAAAAACACGGACACCGTTCGATGCTAGAACGAATGTGTCTGGTGTTTCACATATTCATAGATTCAGGTACCATTTACCATCAGATGGACCATATGCTTGATTGCCACCAGCGTCGTATAAAAAAAAAACTCACAAGCGCATCGTTGGCGAGACGGATCTCCTCCTGGTACTGCAGCAGCCGCTGTTCCATGGCAGCGCGCTCTCGCTCGGCTGCTTCTCGCAGTTGCTTCTCTCGAGCTAACTTGTTGCGCTCCACCTGCCGTCTCTGTAAACAATTTGCAGTTCTATACATATAACAATAATTGAAATGACAACAATTTTTTTACAATAATTATACAAGTAAGTAAGTATTAAGTATTTTACTTAATATTAGCCGACCCGCAACTTCGTACATTAATTTCTCCACCTTTTGCAATATTTTTCATTACTCCGCTACTATTGGTCGTACCGTAATGTTATATAGCTTAAAGCCTTCCTCGACAAATGAACTATATAACACAAAAAGTAATGTAAAGTCTAGTGAAAGTGAGCAGCAAGAGATGTAGGAGTGGCAGCATCATAAATGTTTTAAAAATGCAATAATAATAATAATCTCAGGACAATTCACACAGCGCCATCTAGACCCAAGTTAAGCTAGCTAAAGCTTGTGTTATGGGTACTAGATAACTGATACAAATACAAAGATATTTTTTTTCGTAAATGCATGTATAGTAAATATCGGACTGGGTGAAAACACCCAGTCCGATACAAACAATCATACTCATGAATATAAATGGTTGCGTCATGCGAGGAAACGAACCCGCGACTATCGGAAGTAAGGCGGTAAGCTAAACTGCTAGACCGCCGAGGCCGTCGTAAATTCCTTCTGGTTTAATTTGCTTCCAAATCAAGCAAGTTGCTTCTATAAATATATATAGAAATTATAAAATACAACGATAAAATTGGTCACATTATAGTTGGTCAGGAAATAAATTAAATAACCTGTTTCTCCTCCTTGGCCTGCGCCTTCATCTGCTGCACTTCCATGGTGTCCGGCTTGCGTCTCCTCATGTACAGGTCGTGGTTTCCGATGCACAGATCCAGTATCTGTTAAATAGAGACAAACATGTCTATGTCAAGCATAAAGCAATTAACACAATGTTTTATACGAGTCTTTTTATGTAATTGGAATGACTTTCCCACTCGATGGTAAGTCGTACCCGTTACCTATATATATGGTTGCTCAACTCTCTCCAACCCAAAATTGAATTTAAAAATCTTTATTTTTTTTGGACTAAACTTCACTGGACAATAGGGGGCGAGTGCAGTTGCGGAAGGACACGGCTGAAGACCAAGTTCCGCCTGACGGATACGACTTTAGTCTGTGGGCCCTGCTAAGAGTTCAAACCTCAGCTCAGGTCGTCGTAATATCGATCCCCGTATGAAATGGACGGGGAATAAATCTATGTATTTTTATAAACTTGTACTAGTTCATTTGAAAGAATAAGAGCTGAGTTTCTAGCCAGTTCTTCTTAGCTCGAAGGCACTCCGAACTGACGGTAGATTTAACATATCACAAGTCTGTAATAGACCTACATGAATAAAGATATCGATATACTCTCTCTACGAGTATATGACGCATAAATTTTGGGTCGGCAACGCGCACGTGACACCCCTGGTGTTTCAGGCGTCCATAGGCTACGGTTACCATTTACCATAACATAGGCCTGTTTGCCACCATAGTATAAAAAAATGGTCGTAAAAAAACGACCGATTGCCATAGAAGTATTTTGATTTAACTTATCACACAGAAAATTAGACTTCTAGAACACAATATTATAACATTACAATGCAACTTACCAATTTATTCATCCCTTTAGGCGAAAAAAATATAAAGTTTGTGACGGTTTTCTCCACGAATTTTATGACAAACTTCTTGTCATCGAACGATATGTGCTTGATCTCCGACCATGGGAACGTCGTCTTGGGCGTCAGTTTGTTGTCCTTCTCGTATATATTGAGACCGAGCGCCGTCACCCCTAAATATAGGTCAGTGTCTTTTTTGTTCTGAAAATTTGAGACATTTTTTATTTTATTTTTACGGCTAGGAATGTACAGCATATATAAAGTTATATGAACGACGTGATAACGTCATGGTAGCGAGTTCGAATACGATTATTATGTTGTACATATTACATATGTATTTGCATGTTTGTAAAGACTAAAAGTGCGAACAAGATAAATTCAATATTATATATTACTATCTACTACTACTTTTATTATAAAATTACATTTAAAATCTTTCATAATTACTGGTACTTGTATAAGTAAAAAAAAAAAATTTAAAAAAAAATATGGCCACGAAATAAAATGTACATAAGTTATTACGAATTAATTGAACATAATCATTGACAAAAGAATCTACTCCCAAATGCAGACACACTCCAAATATACGGCCACCCATCCTTGGTACGACTACATTCAACACCGCCTGACCTCATAGATCGACAAATTCACACACTGCACTCACTTTAAAAATTAAGTTTTCTTTAAATAATGATTATTTATATATTCTGAGATTCTTTTTACAATAGTATATAAATTGCTTACGTTTATTGCAAAGTAATTAACGCCGTACATATCCAAGTCCTGTGCTATCTTGAGATATTCCATTTCTGCTTCATCCCGCGACATGCCTTTGTGATCAGCATACCTAGTATAATAAAATAATTAATGTCTTCTTATACATTCCTTTGTTTAGAACGGCGTATGACGGACTATAAATCGCTGTCTACAATCCCTCATACTCGTGAACGAGTGCTGCTTATAGAGACTGGGCTGCTCTAATCACTACGATTGAGCTATTCAGACAATGCAACTTAAAAATATAAAGTTTCAGCTAAATTATTCAAAAGAGCAACACGCAAATTTCTTTCTCGTTCTTCTAGTGATGAGAGAGCTTTCCGAATGAGATTTCAATATAAGTTTATTGGAATAAATTATTTTCTATTCTATTCTAATGTACTCATAAAAACATTTGTTATTTTATTCTAACTAATAACATTCATTCTTCATCTTATTTGACGGGCTCGGTGGTCTAGCGATTTAGCACATTGCTTACCAATGATCGCGGGTTCGATTCCTCGCACGGTGCAAAATATCTATATATTTATATCAGTTGTCTAATACCCACAAAACTAGCCCCTTACTTGGGACAAAATGGCGCTGTGTGAATTGTCTTGAAAAAAAAAAAATTATAAGTTAGTCTCACCATATTTTAATGCGGTCCTCCCACATCTCAGGCGTCATCTGGTACTGGTCGATGACCCGCTGCGGCAGTAGATCCTCGCTGGCCAGCATTCCGGGCTTGTAAGCGTTCTCATCGTAGTCCCCGTACTGGAAATACAGCAATGAATTATATTATACATCTACCAAAGTTTATTAAATAATAGTGGTCGACATTTGGCCATAATTAATGTAACATTCAGTAAGACTGGTCAATCAATAAATAGCGAGCGCGATGATGCCTCCGGGAAGACACGGGGGCGCGGGTAGTCGAGCGATGCAGCCACAAACTGAGTCAAAGTTCCCACTGTGCGGCGCGTCGTGCCGACCACACGCGCATTGTTTAGTTCATTTTCATAAGCGCTCCGTAGTTAATGTCGGTCTAAACTAATGTACTATAAATTCTAGGAAATACCAGTTTGGAAAATTTATTACAGTCCACTCTTTTTACTCCCTGACGCTATCAAATAGTCCTTCGCGCCGGATCGCTGTTTCTGGCTTGACCAAAGACTAGACAAGTGACATTAAAGACAAAGGCAAAAAATATTGATCTATTCTCAATTTATGTGTGTGTGTGTGTGTGTGTCAAATACATGGTAGTGTGTGTATTTTTTTTTATGGATAAATTTAATAATATTAGAATTCTGTACTCCTTCTCTACATAAACTATGATTGTGCGAAATTACATACTACTCCATCCGCGCAATTTTCGTTAAAAGGGGTACAAAGTTTTTGGTTCACTTACTAATATATAGATACACGACAAAATTAACAACAAGACCTACCGTCACTACAATATCCCAAAAGGGGTAGTGGTTGGACAATAAAGTATAAATAAATGTTTTTTTTAATCTAATGAATTCATGCTATATAGTAGTTTGTACAGACAGGTTTATAGACATTTGATTTAACAATGTAAAGTTACAATATGTTTAATAGAACAACGTTTGATTGGCGCCTTTGGTTTCTACGCCCCGCCCAATTTAAAAAACGATATTATACTAATATCGTTTTCAAATACACTTCTTCAAATTCTTCACTTTTATAATAAGCTGCCAGAAAAGGTTTAAAGACATAAAAAACACTTTGTAAAAAAGTGTTTTTTATGTCATTTAAACCATGTCTGGTAGATTTAGAACAGTCTCTGGCAGTTTGTTGCAAAAATGATTATAATAATATTATTAATAAATAAAATATAAGAAATATAATTTGTGATAACTAACAAAAAATACCTTAGCCTGCACAGCGTAACTGGCCAGGAGTACGGAGGCCTCTGGTGGGCAATATATGTCCATGCTGAGTATTGCTTGCTTCACTTGCAGGAACAGGAGGTGCTGTGTCACCTCTTGGATGAGTTCCTCAGCCACATCCTCAGGGTACAGCTTGCAGAGCAGCATGAAGGGGGTGCCCGGCATTTGGGAGACACATTGGTCTTGTACTGTAATGGTAAGAAGGTATGAAGCTCTTGCCTCAGAGACTTAGTATTGTTTGACATATCATAAGATTCACGTCATGCCTCTGTAATTACACTTTTTTTCTGCATTTGACATGACAATGGTATTGTAATGATGTCCAAGAAGTTGAGTTAATGAGAGACAGCAAAGACAGTTACCTCACTGGAGGTACAATTCTCTTACATCAACAGATTCCCACAACAAATCAGTTAAAGGCTTGGTGAGCCATTGCATAAAATATAATACGGAAAAAATTTAACAGTTTGTGAGTAAAATATAAACACACCTCTTTTATCCAATTTCAGCCAACTTATAAAGTGTTTTGTGTCTTCGAACTGTAGTCCAAAGAACCATGTCTCCCTCAGGCCTATAGTTCTGCATACTAGATCAAACAGGTCACGACCAGTTGCACGCCACTGTAAGAGTACAAATAGAGATAATGAAGTTTGGACACAGACTTATATCTGAAGAAAACCAAAACACAAAATATTGTAATAATAAAAATAAACTTATTTGGTTACAATAGAGTTACAGTATTTTTTCTTTCTTGTTTATTAATTGAAATTAAAATTGATTTAAAAATATGATATTAAAAAAAAGAATATATATTTTAATTCTAGGTTGGCCAATCATATCCTTCTTGATTTAACCATATATAAGGTATACATTAAGTTTGTTAATTATACTTGTACTTAATTCTACTATATTTATATACCTAATAGAGATCATTAATATAACTTATATACAAGTAAATTAATCATCATTGCCTTGCCTTTATCCCATTATAACATAGAATAAATTAATAACATAGTATATATTATCTTATAGTACATGTTAGTACATGTAATCATAACATTCCTTCAAATATTTTTTACCTAGTATAAAACTGGTAATATCTTTTAAATTGTGCAACAGATTTGATTGCAATTTCAGCAAATGATAGAGTGATTCAAGAGGTAGGTTTATATGAATAATATATGTGTGTTATAGTATAGAACAGTTTGAGAAATTCACAGCCGGTGTAAGGATGACTTAGTAAAGTAAGTAAGTAGTATATAAGCATTGATATAATAATAAATGACTCAGTACACACTCAAATGTCGTACCTATCATTTGACTAATAAGCACCACCCTTATACTGGGATGGGTTGCTAGTTATTTCTAATTCAATAATATCCTGTAATATGGACATTACGGAACTTTGGTACATTAGATTTTAAATAAGTGGCACAAGACATTTTTATATACTATAATACTGTCTCAGCTCATTAGTAGTTACACTCTATCTTGCTTTTCATAGTTACTAAATTAATGTAATGTTGTGATCTTTCAGGATGCCAACATTTGTATGAGTAATATTATAATATTAATATTGGTATTTTCTATGTATATCATGTATTTCTATAGAAAAGAAATATGTACTTAACTAAATTTAATCAGCAGTTTAGTGTGCATAGTAAAAACTCTGCTATTATATTGCTCAAGAGTTATTATTATTATTATTATTACAGTATTATTATCATTGTTAATAAAAATTAGTAGTATTGCAGTACCCAATTATTTTTCATAGAATACTATTTCATATATTACACAACTCAATTTGCACATAAGTTTTGAAAATGAGTGAATGATTGAAGTGAAGAAAAGTTGAGTTATTAAGAGTTATTTGAAGACATAAATTTTATAAGGAATTTAAAGTTATAACTTTTAGGAAGAGTTTTAAAATTTAACAGTTATTTATAATTGATAATATAGTGAGAAAATATTATTCTTATTTGTGAACTGTGAATTTAAAAAAGGATTTCGAATTTAGAATCATTTCGGCAAAGCAAAGGACCTACTAAGACATAGTGGTAGTAACATTTTAAAAATAGATATTATATATAAATAGATATTAATATGTAAAGCACATAAACAGAAATGATCTAATTGACAGTATGTGTAAACCAAGTGCTACAGTTGCTAATATCAATTTACGAGTTTATATAGCATCCCATTGGCATGACTCAACAGGAGGATGCATTGTTTTCGACCCAATTAGCATAGCAAACAGATAATGACAATGAATGGTAATCTCTGTAAAGTAAGATATCTCACCTCAAGGTTGAACTCAAGCTCGGCATCTAATGTACACACTTTAACGGGGAACGATTTCGACGCTTTCTTCCTTCTGAACGGCGGCATTATATTCTCATAGCTTCAATGAGCAGCAGAATATCAAAACAACAGGTTATGATAAAACTGCCTTCAGTTATTTACACATCAATTGCTAACGTTTACGTAATAAACACTCGATAAAGGAATGCGTGTAAATTCACATTGCGTACTATTTCCAGCATTTATTATTTACAAACAAGAAAAACGTCAATGAAACAAGAACAGACTTGAATGAAATTATTATGAAAAGAAAATTATGAAGCCTATACGTTCCGTTTTACAGTTGTTATTCTTGTTAGGATGACATGAAAATAATGTTCATTAGATATTGGCACTTTTTGCAAGCTTATATTGAGTTTCTGCGTAGTTAGAAATATATAAGAAGAAGATTAACTTATGGTTTTAATACAATAGATTTTGTAAATTTATGGGTAACATATATAACAGAATTAGAAGTAAAACGTAAAATACTATCATATTTATTTTCATTTCATTAAATTTATTTCGGCGTAAATTACCTATAATATTGTATTTATTATATCAAATTTCGATCGTCTTACTATTTAGGTTTTCAATCCTACTCTTTAATCCTTTTTGGTTAATGTTGGTATCGCTGTTATGTCACTTTGACAATTAATCTTGTTGCTAACTTCATTGCAAAATATTATTTTACTTCATTCACCACGTGTGATATTATATTATTTTAATTTAAGTGGAAAATAATATTCAAGAGAATTATGGGAAAGTTCAGATCCAAACTTAAAGGGAAGTCCAAGGGAAAAAGATGGCAAAAAGGCCAGTCTTCTACATCAAATCCAAAACTTCAAAAATACAGAGAAATGGCAAAATCGCGATTTTTTCAAGAAAACTTGGGTATGTTTATTTTAAATAAAATTTACGTTAATTTACAATTTCAATCTGTCCACAATTGCAGTAAATTATATACTAGGATGTGTGTCTAAAGCTACACTAGCAGGCTGTTACCAGATTTGGCTGGGGAGGGAGAGAAACACGAGCGGTCTTGTGACTGTTAACGTATGTCGGCAAAGATGTTTAAGCCTAGGCTCTGGTCTCAAGTCCCTGTCAAGGACTGCTCAGAGGTTCACTCTCTTCCACACGATGGACCCGGCACTCGCAAATCCATGGAAGGCTAAGAAGTTAAACCTGAAATAGAAACTTAATATTTTATCAATTAATATTCCCAGTCAATGAAACCAACGTTTTAACATGTTACAATTATTTCCATCATATTTTAGGCAATACGGGCTTAACCGAAAAGGCAGTTTCAAAACATGAAGCAATGATCAGATATGGCCACAGTACTGGTAAACAGAAATCTGAAGCCGAAAAGGAGTTGATCATTGCAAAGGAATTTGAGAATATGTCGGTAAAGTCAGGTGATGAAGACACAGAAAGTGAATACACTGGATCCATGAGATCAGGCACATATCGAACTTTCCAGACATTTGCCTCCGATTGGAGTCAGTGCTCTAATGTTAGTTTTAGCAAGTAAGTTGATGTTGTCTTTATTTTAATGAAATCATGTTCAATGTAAATTTTAGCCTTTTTGATAATGTTAAGATATTAGAAACTTGGTAATTGAAAATCATATTATATTAAAAAAAACTTGGATTATCCTGACCGAGAATTCTAGATATATCATTTATGCTAAGAACACTAATAATTTTGCCAAGGGGTTGTCAAAGTGTAACAATTTTCATAGCAGTTTTATAGCTAATGTTGTCAGATTTAAATAATATTATTCTGTCTTTTTATTCTCAATGTCAATATCTCAAATGCAGCCAACAAAACAAAAGTTTTGTGAATTAATTACATAATGAAAAAAGTTTGGGCACTTGATATGACACTATGAACTTATGAAGAATAGTATGGAAGAAAAAATAGAAGGAAATAGGGGAAGGGGACAACCAAGACACTTATATAAAGCAGATCAAAGATAAAGTTGGATTCATGTTGTAACAACAATTAATGAGATTGAAACATCATAGGAAATTCTAAGAGCTCTACCAACAAGGGTGCAGGGTTTAAATTATGAATTAATTAATATTACAATGAAGTATTATTTTAAATTCTCAATCAGGTTACTAAATAAGTTTGACTCGAATAATGCAGTACACAAGGAGATGCTGGCCGTATTGGCAGCGGTCACCGAGGTGATTAAGGAGCAAGGAGGCAAGGAAACTACCACTGAATACTTTGCTGCATTGGTGAGATTATGTTTATATATCTATAACATGAATATTTCTTACACCACACTTTGTGGTAGCCTGGTCTTGCATGAGTATTCTTCGCACCCTCTGCCCCGCCATAACCAGGACCGCTACCATGGCCAAGACTGGTGAGGCCATCAGGAACAGGGCGCCAGGGCCTTGGGTGGTAATTTATTTGGGTGTAAATTCTTATACCACATTTAGAGGAAAGAAACATGTTTCCCATTTGGTGCTAAACTTTAAAAATTAGATTATTATTAAAGAATCATTTTACATTGTTATATCTTTATTTGTTTTAATTTATTATTTATTAAAATTGCAAATATATATGGTTAAAAGCATATCTTTTGAATTGGCCATTAGCAACCAAATCGTTAAGGTCTCTTGATATTTCTAAATATATAAAGAGTTAGGAACCAAATTAATGGTAAATCATAAGATGCATAATGTTAATGGAATTGTGCAATAAAAATTCAATTCAAGAGTTAAGTTTTACTCAACAATTGTATTTTAATGAAAGTTTTGTTAAATATATAACAAATATACACCTGTTCATGCAATGAAAAAATCTGTCTTCAATTATGTTGCTAAGGAGAATACTGACTGAAAAACTACTGATCATATCTTGATTTAATTTATATGTCATTACTTGTTTCTAATAAGAAAAGAATCATAAAAATCAGTTGACTTAGGCAAAACTTTTGATAGTATAAATGAAAATAGTTAAATTGAGACTCTTTTAAAAAACATCATATTGACATTTTATTTTTTTTTATAATTCTTTATTGCACCAATATTAAAAGTAGATACATAAAAAAATATAAAATAAATATATATATGTGTATTTACATAAAAGAAAGAAGAAGGTACGTTGAGAGAGTGGTAGGTTGAGAGATTGATGCAAAATATCTTTCAATTATTTCTCCAATCAATAGATGGAGACTCTGAAAACATCTGAAGGCGAGGAAAGTCTAGTGGCAGCTCTGTCTCTATTATCCATGGGTATAAAGTCTGTACCCCAAGCAGTTCTACGTAAGCAGTTTTCAGATTCCGCAACAATCTTCACCAACATATTAGAGAACAGTGAACAAACAGAAAATGGTACACTATTGAGAAGTGCTATAGGCTGTCTGTCTGTGTTGCTAAGAGCGCAGGAATATGCACTGTGGGGTGACTCATCCACTATGAAAGTGTTTGACTCTGTTTTGGCATTCACACTACATTCAAAGCCTAAGGTTTGTATTGTTATTTATGTTCTAATTTTAAACGCAATGCCTGAAATTATTTTAATAAATATTCCATGTTAAAATATATCTATTTTATTGTAAAGTGTAATGATTAGGTTCACTCACAGAACAAACTTTCCTGTTCTGTGTGGTGTGACTATAGCATGACAGAGTGAGCAAAATATCAAGTATCGACCAAAGAGGTCTATCATTCGACAGGAAGAATATAATTATGTAATATATAAATGTACTATATAATCATCATCTCATCTGCTTCTTCCTTATCCCATTTATTTTGGGTCGGCGTAATATGTTTTTCTTTTCCATTGATACGATCGAAATCATCTCGTTATTTACTCTCTGTCTTACCATATCATATTTCATATAATCCATATATATATATATATATATATATATATAATTATATATATATATATATATATATATATAAACACCTCTTTGGGCACTTTGTTGATCACGCCACAACCTAAACACTTGCCGATTCCACCTTTTGCACTGAATAACTTGACTCCTATCGCGTATATCTCAGGCGGTATGGCAACGTCGCATTCTATTTTGCGATGCGGCCATATATATTCGTCGATAGTACGATATACTCGACACTTTTTTTACTAATAATTCGTGACTGAATGGCTCCGAACGGCTAAATTTTTGGTATACACAAAGACTTTTTGGCTCTGAATATATTCCAAAAATCAATTAATTATGTTGATCACTTTATATACTCGTCCTTACTGCGATACTTACTTTCATCCGAATATATATAGATACCGTAACGGTCTATCAATTATGACTTTATTAATTTACTAATGTAGATATTTTATATTCGCAATGCTCCATACATGCAAGCTCCAGCAACGGTGGAGGCAGGGTCCCCCTGCACCGTACACCGCACCCCGCGCACACAAACAAATTAGATATTTTTTGAATACACAAAGACTTTTTGGCTCTGTATATATATTTCAAAAATCAGTTAATTGTGTTGATCACTTTATATACTGGTCCTTACTGCGATACTTATTTTAATCCGAATATATATAGATACCGTAACGGTCTATCAATTATGAATTTACTAATCTAGATATTTTATATTCGCAATGCTCCATACATGCAAGCTCCAGCAACGGTGGAGGCAGGGGGGAGCACCGTACACCGCACCCCGCGCACATAAACAAATTAGAATAAATTAAATTCATAAGATTATTTATATATTTCGACTGCCTCGGTGGTCACACCGCTTTACATCCGATGGCCGCGGGTTCGATTTCTCGCACGGTGCAAACATTTGTACTCATCGGTCATCGATTGTTTTCATCGGTCTGGGTGTTTTATATGTATATTATATATGTATTTACAAAATAAAAATATCTATTTATATCAGTTCAGTATCAGTCTGTGTTAATTGTCCAGGGTTATTTATTATATTTTTATAAACGGTTATCTTTTTCCATCGCACCGCTCGCTATCGACAGTGAATTCATAGAAATGTAACTCTAAAAACAAAAATAGTTTTGTGTTTTGTATTTCAAATACTAAATGCAAAATAGGTATTTTCAAAATACTTTTTCAAAATTAAGTACCTTTTGAATTTTTGTCCAAACCTCAGATATTTTATTTATTTTAGGTATATCAATCATTACATAGTAATATAAAAACAAAGTCGCTGTCGCATCTAACAGTACATAAACAAAGAAAGAAGACTTTGGCTCTGATACCGTAACGGCCTATGAATTATGAATTTATTATACCTAATCTAGATATTTTATATTCGCAATGCTACGTACATTGTAATATCCGCCTCCATTCATTGTAACGGTGGAGGGACTAAATAGTTGAATAAAACTGAATCGTATGCTGTTCATTTTTTCACTCGTTTTGGCGCCAAGAGAGGGTCACATAGTCGTGGTCAAGTTAAGAACTTATAATTTAATTTTGATAACAATAGATACAAGTAAAAAGTAGGTATTATATTAATGTACGTAAGTACTGTACTTAAAAATATTTATTCTTTACTGTATGTACATTTGAAAAACTTAACACTTAAGGACTTGTACATATACACGTACATACTGCCATTTTCTCTTAAAGACATCCAGAGAAGCACTATTTATCAAATACGCGGGGTGCACCGACCTTTGACCTTATAACACCTGATTCGCGCGTAACGAATTACATTGCTACTTTTTGGTATTTTATAGTGGATATGTCACTATAAAATATTATTATTTCTTTAGATTATGACATAATAACATAGTTTACATGATTTTAAGGGAAACATACGATAAAAAAAAATCCCGTAAAATGTAAAAGATAAAAAATGGTTATTGTTGGTTATCCTTAAGAGATAGACATATACCATCACGGACTTTTTTGTTGACCTTATTTTGATACATCTCAAAGCACTAGACAACACGCATTTTCATTAAACAGTATTGTATTTTTTTATTTCTTTAACTTTAATGCACAAAAAAATTTGTACATGTGGCGGACTTAATATTTTGCCGCGTTATTTACCAGGCAACCATGAGTGGTGCAGCGAAAGATTATTGGCGGTGCACTAATATAAATAAGAAATGTCAAAAAAAGATTTATAAAGATAATAAAGATAAGCAAAATATACATTTCTATAAAAAAATAACAATATACATACATAAATATATATCTAAATATAACCCATAAATGTATAAATATTATATATAAGTAAATACATAATGATCCGATAATCAAATTATAAGTACAGTCTCAAATTGAAAGTAAGAAAATCAGAAAATATAGAGAGAACTATATGGACATAACAGAAAGATGTGAAAAAAGGAGAAGGACAGTAAAAAAGTTACAAATTTAAATAATGTTCCCGCAATTTCTGTTTAAATGAATTTATTACATTATTATATATATTAGGCATACGACTAGCCTTATGACTGTTACTTTTTTTTTAATCTATACATCTATACATGTAAATAAAATTGGAGTGTCTGTTTGTAATATTGAAATAACCGTTTTTTACTACTTGCATATGAATATAAATACGGTACATACACCAAAATAACATATTTTACAAGTTTTGTCTGTCTGTCTGTCTGTTTGTTCCGGCTAATCTCTGAAATAGCTGGACCGATTTTGACGGGACTTTTTTGGCAAGTAGCTGATGTAATAAGGAGTAACTTACGCTACTGTTATTTTAGAAAAATAAAATAAAATTTCACACGGACGAAGTCGCTGGGGCCAGTTAGTCTATAGATATACCGAGATTTAATGTTTAAGTTGCTATTATGTTGTTGACAAAATTTTACTGTAATGTTACTATTACGTTATCCTACACAATTTGTATTATTTTGGATGAATAAATAAATAAATAAATAATAATCTATACATCTATACATTTAATAAAAATTGGAGTGTCTGTTTGTAATATAGAAAAAACCGTTTTTTACTACATGCATATGAATATAAATACGGTACATACACCAAAATAAAATATTTTACAATTTTTGTCTGTCTGTCTGTTTGTTCCGGCTAATCTCTGAAATGGCTGGACCGATTTTGACGGGACTTTTTTTGGCAGGTAGCTGATGTAATAAGGAGTAACTTAGGCTACTTTTATTTTAGAAAAATAAAGTTAAAAACCACGTGGACGAAGTCGCGGGAACAGCTAGTGTATAATATATTAGAGATACCTACGTGTTTTTTTATTGATGACTAGCTGTACACGGGATTTCGTCCGTGTTGAATTTAACTTTATTTTTCTAAAATATAAGAAGTTAAATTCCACGCGGACGAAGTCGGGTGTACAGCTAGTTGTCGGTAGTCTAGCGATTTAGCTAGCACACTGCTTTGATTCCTGCTTGGTGGTCGAGGGTTCGATTCCTCGCACGCTGCAAACATTTGTATTCATGAGTATGATTGTTTGTAACGGTCTGGGTGTTTTCTATGTATAGATAATATATATGTATTTACGAAAAAAAATCTTTGTATTTATATCAGTTGTCTAGTACCCATAACATAATCTTCAGCTAGCTTAACTTGGGTCTAGATGAAGCTGTGTGAATTGTCCTGAGATTACTATTATTACTATAATAAATCTTTTCAAATCAGCCGATGTTTATTTTTGCCATAATACGTGCTGTTACCATGTGATAATATTACGTACGTACTTATTAAACTATTAACTTATTATTAAATTGTTTGTAACGGTCTGGGTGTTTTCTATGTATAGATAATATATATGTATTTACGAAAAAAATCTTTGTATTTATATCAGTACCCATAACATAATCTTCAGCTAGCTTAACTTGGGTCTAGATGAAGCTGTATGAATTGTCCTGAGATTACTATTATTATTAATTGGTACACAGGTAAACTACTAACTAGGCCATATTGGTGTTGTTTGTTATGGTGAAAAAACTAGTAGGTATATATATAAGTTACACGTACAATTTCAAAGACTTATTTCTTGAAAACTACTGGCTATTCTGAAATAAAACTTTAGTGTTTGTATATGTAATGTTTGCATATAAAATATGATTAAAGGTTACCAGTGTATTTACACTTTTACTGAACAAACAGAGTTGTTTAATACTGAAAATATTGTGTGGAAGGCATCAATTACTTTCAGTGCATGTATAGCTTTTCTCTTTTCCTAATTATTATTATTATTAAGTTTAAAGTGGTTGAATTTTACGTAAGGGGTTTTTATACATTATTTCTAATGTACCATTTATTTTAAGTTTTTTAAACTCTATTCATCGAGACCTATCTAATGAGTCCAAACACGATATTTCTGCTGTAAGTTTTCGAAGAGTATGTTCATCATCTGATAATACTGGTGCCAGCATGAAGTCAAGGTTAACAGATAACTAATTACTTTTATTTCGTCAAAATCTTTAGATTACGTATAATAAATTCATAATATCGCTACCTATTTAAATCAAAACAAGTATTAGGTACTTCATGTACTAGTATATAAATTCATCAACACACAAGTAAAT